GGAAGAGCGAGCAAAAGTTGCGGACCGGCTACCCACTTTGTCCAGCTCCTCAGCAGAGACGTCCGTCTCCCCTCCTGCTGCCAGCCGTCATCGGAAGCAAGCAAAGGAAGATGATGCTATGTTTGCTTTGTGAATGCTGTGGACTGGTGTGCCGTGGAGCAAGATGCTGTGTGTGCTGTTTTGCTTGCCTCCAACCAGGGGCCAGCAGGGGAAGGACTCTGTCCCCTTCCTCCACTCTCTTCCTGTTTTCCCTTTGAGTTGTTTTTATTTTTAAGCTGCTTTCAGATTTCAGATAATCTTTGTTGTGTTTAGGGATGTCATACAATAGACTTGTGAAGGGGGTTTTCAAAGCTGCTAGAGAACGTGGGAGTTTAGTGGGCTTCTTTTTTTCGGTACAGTGTGGGCAAAGTAGAAGCTCCCCATCCTCCTCTCCAGTGAGGTAGTCAGAAATCTTGCCCAAGAAACAGGAGAGGCTGCAGTCTGCTGCTGAAATCATTCCTGCCTGCCTCTTTCCTTGCCCCACCCCTAGAACGGATCTCCAGCCCTCTGCCTGCCACTGTTAGACTGGAAAGCATGAGGATGCAAAGCATTACAGGTGGCAGAGGAGGAACACTAACGGTAGAGGGACCCTGTTGCTCCAGTCTCTCTTGCACAAGTGCTTGTGGTGTGCAACACCTTCCCACTCACAACCCCTTCTCTTCCTCTTCCTTTCCTCCCCCTCCCCACCAGTTTATCCAGAATCCTACTCACAGACGGAATGTTTCCGTTGCGTGACAGCCGGTTGCCAAAGCCCTTGGCTGCACACAGGGCTTGAGCTGCGAGCAGTACCCCCGGCTGAGGGGGCTGTCTGCTGTGGGGGTAGGATGTGCCTTCAGCAAACTTTGCAGTTAATTTAATTCTCCCATTATTATACTTTTCTCCCCTCTTTCCCCGATGCGATCCCACCTCCCTCTCTCACTTCCACTGATGCCTTCCACCATACTGTGCCGCGGTGTGGGGGTCTCTCTGAGCCTCTTATCAGGCCAACCCTATAGACTCCTTCGGGGTAGCTGTGTGCTGGGGGTGAAGAGCTGTGTTCCCTAAAGCAGGAGGCCCTTACATAGGCATGGCTACACCAGCGAGAACGTGCTGCTGCTGGAGTAGCTTGTTGAGCTGGTGAGCACAGAGGTGCAGTGAGACATCGGTCATCTCACGCCAGCAAAGCAGCCCTGCAGCAGCCAGGAGCTCCTTTGCACATGGGGAGAAAAGCCTTTCTGAGCAAACCGCACAAGCTGCCCCATTGTAAAAGGCAGCCGGGGGGAGGGTGCCAAGCCCGGGGCTCCTGCTCATGGGATCTCTTGTTGAGCGTGGGATAGTTGCCTTTTTTTTATTGCACATTAAAGGAGCAAAGCCTTGAGCTTCCCTTGAAGATATGTGTACGCTGTCATTGCTGGGCAGGGGAGGACCTTGTAGGGGGAAGAGGGGTGCAGCTACATTTGCTCTCCACGAAAAGGCAAAGGCACCGTGGTGCTGAGATGAGGCACGACATGGGTGCTGAGGGTGCTGTGAGCCAAGGCAGGTGCTCACTGCTTTTTAGCACAGTCTCCTGGGGAGGTGACTACAGCCCATCTCAAAATAGCAAGAGGGTGAGCTACCTCCTCTCCTTTCCCTCTGCCTTGTGACCAGACCTGAATATCCACCTCGCAGCCCATAAATCACTTAAAGACGTGCAAGAAATACAGTTGCTATGAAAGGGCTCTCTGGTGTCCACAGGGCGTCTTCAGTTGTCCCTGTGCCATCCCCTGCTATCCAGCTGAGTGGGAGATGGGGGAAGGATTCTTAAAAGGAGGTTGAACGGGTTGAAAGTGTCATCTGAGCCCCAGACTTGTAGAAAGGAGTTAAATTAGCTGCAGTTGTTCACACCTCCTTGTCCCCATGCCTGTACGACGTCTCAGCTGTACTAAGTTCAGGCAGAGGCTTGAGGATAAGAGCTGAGAGTAGAGCTGGTCTGCAGCTGGTGGCAGTGGGGCTGGAAAAAGCAGAGCACTGGGTTTCCTCCCCTGTAAGCCGTTATGGGATGGGAGGGGGCCTTGTGTCTTCTTCAGCTTTCCAAGATGGACAGCACATACTATCCTTGGGCAGTTTGGCCGCTGGAAAAATGAATCACCATTTCCAATGCCATTGCGTTCCCAAGGCCTTTGGGAGGAACTAGGAGAGGCCTCCCTCCTTTCTGAACCAGGTGGTATTACATATTTAATATAACCCTCTTTGAGCAGCAGGCCTCAACCCAGGGTATGCATGCTATCTTCTGGAGTTGGTGGGGAGGGGAAAACCCCAGCCAAATGAGCCTGAGAGGCACCTGTCCTGCCCCATCTTGCTGCTGAGTTCACAAGTGGCTCTGCTGGCGGTTTCCTTTTTGCTTCCTCTCCGAGCTCCCCCCCCTCCTGCAGCCAGTCCTGCAGCAGAACATCACCATGCCACAGGACTCCATGCTCCTTACCTAAGAAGGGCTTAGATCAAATGAACTATGTGGAGCATTTTCTCTTAAGAGCGCAGCCTGAGAGCCACGGGCTTCTGCCCTACCAACTGCATGAGGGTTTCATGCGGCAAACACGGTTGAATGCTGGGGAGTGGCACAGCTGCAGACCTCTATCACAAGTCTGTTTTTACCGCATTCACAGTTTCCTGAAACATCTTTTTTTTTTTTTTTATTAATCTCAGGACCATCCTTGTCCCAGCAGATGCTAGAAGTGAAACCTGGGTGGAGGGGACAGGTTTGCCCATGCAGTGCTGGCTCTGGCCTCTGCTGTCACCCTTGCAGCAAGCCCAGAGCCAAACTCAGCTCACCTCCACCCCAGCCAGAGCATGCAGAGCTTGCTCCAAAGGCTCTGTGCTGGGAGTGTGGCCCACAGGAGGACACTCGAAGTCAAGGGACCATGAGGGCTGTGAGCTACAGGCCAGCACAGAATCCTCCAGTGCTGCAGACCTGCAAAAGCAGGTCCCTCCTGTGAGACAAGACTCGGAGCTGGGACGTGAGGGGCTGGGAGCCCCTGCAGCTTCCCGCTGCCAGCCTCAACAGGGAAACAGAGAACAAGGAGGAAACGCAAAAGGGCCAAATGCTGCCCTTCCCCTCCCAGAGCACCTGCAGGAGAGGAAGCAAGAGCAGAGGCACAATGGAGCCCAGGCTGGTGGGTTTTGCAACTGTGGGGCCAGAAGGGCCTCTGGAGCAAGGGACCCAATGCCCAAACCTTCTTACCAGTGCCTGGACTCAGGCTGCCTGGCTCTGCCGAGAAGGGAGGGCTGCTGGTGCCTGGTCAGCATGTGCGAAGGACACCAGCCTGTTCACACCGGTGATGTTTTGAACACTGGTTCATGCCTCAGTGAGTGCTTAAAGCTCTCAGTGCCTCCAGTTCCTTCGGTGCATTGCCTGCGGCTTCCCCTGAAAGAGAAATGAAGCCATCCCCGAATGTATACCTCGAGCACGGGGAGTTCAAGTTCCTCTTTGCTGCCCTTGGGATGCCCTGAGCCTACCTCGGAGTAAAAACACCTTTTCCATCCTCACTTTGTTTTCTCCCTCCCCAGACAGCAGGCACAGGAGCTGGCAAAGCCAAGAGGTGACTGTCCCCAAGGAAGACTTGAGTGCAGGGGAATTGGCTCACTGCTATTTTTGTCATGGGGCAAACAGGTGGGAAGGGTTTTTGGTGGCTGCCAAGTGGGGTCGGTTTGAAGCGATGACCCATAGGTGAAAATTCAGAGTGCTGCTCATGGCGCGCCAGGCCAGCCTGTCCCTGCTCTGCCGTGCAGCCAGCCGTGGTCACAGCGCTTTTCACTGCGGGCCACCCACAGCAGAGACTTTTCCTACTGGAATGATGTCTCTTTTTTTCAAGCAACTGAAAATATGAAGAATAGGGATGAGGGCACGGAATCTTTCCATGCCCAAATTAGTACTGTTGTACTTGCTATAGATTATACCAGTAATAGCTTGAATAATTTTGCAAGGTTTCTTTTGAGGAAGAACTTGGAAAAAAAAAACCTGCCAGGTCTGCAGGGGGTCGTTTAAGTATAGGCCATTGGGAAAAACTGCTTTATGACTGCGAAAAAATAAAACGACCTCTCGGTAAAGAATTCCTTTATAAATGCCTTTCCCTGTTTAAAAGTGTTTTCTAATGTCGCTATTTTACAAAGTTAAAGCTGCCTGCTCGCTTCTGACCACCAGATGGCTGTGGTCCCTCGCAGGCTCAGCCTGAGCAAAACCGACTGCAGAGGACAAGCTCTTGCTTGGCAGTGACCTGCCTAGCAGGCTGTGCAACCAATTTTTTTTTTCCTTATTCTAAGTATTGCGCTGCAACCATTAGCCTGGCGCGGATTCAACCCTGCAACTGCCCCAGCGCACACATTCAGGCATTGCAACTACACGGGGACCGGGAAGGAGCACTTGCACTGTGTCTATGATCCATTAATAACCACACTGGGAACGGGATCCTGACCTGGACGGATATTTTGCATGACCCAGAATGGTTGTTTCTATGCAAGCCGAAGAAAGGCATAACTTCCTTGTACTGGGTCAGAGCTGCCCTCTGTCCCTAAAAATCAAATACATGCTAAAAGTTCATGAGAATTTCCATGATGTTTGGGTTGTGCAGTTCCTGGCATACCAGCATCGCATTCATAGAGGCAAAAAAAAAATGCATGCTTGTCTTCTACCTACTACTAACCTCCAAATAGCATGTTATTATTTTTTTTAAAGACCTGTTAACAAAAACATCTCCTGATTTCCCACAACATCATCTTACAAATCAGCACAGAAATGTCCCTTGCTAGTACACTGGAAAGGCTGTTCTCCATCCCACAGGACTTTCATGTTGCTCTGCCATATCAAAACTTCCCCAAAGCTTATTTTGGATAACAAAATTCCCCCTTTCTTCAAAAAATGAGAATAAAGGCACTTCCCCTTCCCTTCAGAGCACTGTTAGTGGTGCTGCTGAGGGCAGATGGAGATGCTGGGAAGGGACATACAGTGGGGACCTGGTGGGCAGCATAGAGGGGGGGTTTGAGGAAGGAAAACATTTCTGTAAGTAACTTAGTTTTATCTGGAGGGGGGCATAAGCAAATGGAAGCACAAGAAGAGAGGAAAGAGACAAAAAGAGGAAGGAGTATAGGAAAATATGCAAAAACACAAGAGAGAAAGTAGGTGCCCTAATGCTCAGGAGTGAGGAAATGGAGGTGGCCTGTGGTCAGAGAGGATGTGCAACACAAGGAGTCGTACTGGCAGCCAGTTTGTTTATTTTCTGTTTCTCCTGAAGATCTTTCACGTGTCTTGGCACGAGGACAGAGGTGACTTCTTGCACCAGGGTGATGCCAAGGTGCTTGGAAGCCCTCAGGAGATTTCTCTTTTGTTGACTTGCCTGCTCTCTCCTCGCTTTTAGGGCACCCTGAGCATCCCACCTGGTGTCCAGCAGCTGTGCTGTGTGTTGGGTGAACAAGTACCCCGTTACTTTGTGTCAGTGACTGGCAAAACCGAAGAGAGGGAACAGGGACTCAGGGACATGGGCTCACAAGCAAAACTTCCTCTTCTCTATCTGCAAAAACTCGTGCATGTGACGATGAACAGGGACGGCAGCAGGTTTGGACTGCACAAATGGGCAGATTTG